AGCTTGGTATTTTACAAATATTATTACTCCAGCAATTATTGTAATTGCTATTACTGTAATTATGTCTTGGTTTATAATGTTGGTATCATTAAAGTAGTTTGGTATTTCAGTTTGAATTGCTATTTGGGTTCCAATTATGGTTTCGATGATTGTAGTTGGTGTTGCTGTAATTATTTCTGTGATTATTACTGTAGGTATATTTATATTAAATAGTTTGAATTGTTGTCCTTCAACTAGTGTTATTAATAATAAGATTAACAATAATAGTTTCATTTAGTTTTTCTTTTATCTCCAAATAATGCGAATATTTGTTAGAGTTAGATCCTAAATAATTATCTTGGGGTTGATATATTGCGTTTCTTCTTTGTTTATTATATTTATTTCTTCTTTGTTTTCTTTTCTTGGTAAAGATACAAAACATTAAAGTTATAAGGTTGAGAAATCAAATAATGTAGTTTCTTGTTGTTGTTGAATTTCTGGTATTTGTGGTGGTTGATTATTTTGGTAGTCTTGGATCCTTCTTGTAATAAATTTTTGATTTTGTTGGTGATTTCTTTGATGTAGTTTTTTTTTATGACAGGTTTTGTAAATAATTACTGAGATAATTATTGATATTATTACAAATATTCCTATAATAGTTGCAGTTATAATTATAATAGTTGTGGTGTCAAGTTGAGGTATTGGTGTTTCAATAGTTGTTATTGAATTAACAACAGCCAGATGTTTGATCTTGTTGGTAATATGCTACGTTTGGACATTGTTTATATAGACGTTTCTTATCGCATTGTTGTATACAGCAAATAATAATTATGGTGAGTATCCACAATAATATTGTGAATATCAAGATTAACAATATTGTTGATGCGGGTAGTTGGAGTATAGAATTGTTGCAGATAATTATTCATGGATTTTCAGTTTGGATTGTTGTCATTAATTGGTTTCAAAATAGTGAATAATACTATTTCTATTCCAGATATTACTGTTATGGCTAGTATTACAATTGCTATAGTGGTTTGTATATTTGTAGGTTCTTTAAGGAGAATAATGGTAAGAATAATTCCTAAAATAAATGATATTGTTGTGATTATTACAGATTGTTTTCGTGTTGGTATCATTCAATAATTTTAATGATTTCCTTGGCTAGACGATTTGTATTTGTACCAATCATCACTACTTGAATATTCAAATTGTAAAGGAGTTTGAACTTATTTGAATTTCTCTTTTCTGTTTGGTTTTGTAGGCAATCCTGTTCCTATGCCATTAAATTGGCATTGCTTTATACTTCTGGCTAATTGATCTATTTCCTGTTGTGATAGATTACTTTGAGGTGGTCTTATAAATAGTGTTGGTTCTGGTAATGTCGTAGGTATTTCTGTTGGTCTTGAAATAGGTAATTCTCTATTCTTATTCTTATTGTTTCTTCGTTTTCTTTTAATTCTTCTAATACAGAGGATTATTACTGTTATGATGATGGATACTATAGTCAATATAGTTCCTGATATTTCTATTATTGTTAGAAACTTATAGCGATTCAATATTTATATTTATTCTTGCAATACTATTAACTGTATTAATAACACCACTCATAATACTTGTTATAATAACAATACAAATTATTAAATAAAAAGAAACTTTTGTTAAAACTTATAAAACAAAATATATTTCATATCCCACAATTACAATAAATAAAACACATACCGTAACAAATAACTTATTTATGAATATTTAACTATATACTCTTACGAATTAAAATCTAAATAACGAATTGAGGTTAACTCTAGTGAATAAAGAGACTAGAACTCAACTGTGAGAAATAGAAT